GGGTCTGCAAACATCAGTGCTGCAAGAAGAAGGTCAGAGAGGAGAAGAAGGAAGGAAGGAAGGAAGGAAGGAAGGAAGGAAGGAAGGAAGGAAGGAAGCAAGGAGGGAAGGAAGGAAGGAAGGAAGGAAGGAAGGAAGGAAGAGACCTTCTCCCTCCTGCAGGGTTTCTGCACGGACCGCAAAGGCGCCTGTGTCATTGTGCTGCCAAAGCACAGAAGTAGGTGGCATCGTCTCTGAGCCGGGCACCCCTGAAGCTCAAACGACTCAGCTGCTTCTTCTTATCGAGATCGCCCTGCATGTGGTCTTTCAGGTTAGGATTATCTGTTACCTTCTGTAGCAGAAACTCCAGGCCTTCTCCCGGGTATTGTCTGTACCAGTGTAAACTATAGAAATTGCTCGTTTTGTACCGGCAAGCAATGGTGGTATTCTCTCCTTCTCTGGTGACCTTCAAAGGCTCCTGTTCCACTGCGTCCTGGCTCCGCGCCCCTGCGTGGGAAAATCAGAAGGAACAACTCAATGCATCGCAAGGGACTTTTGAAAAACTTGCAGCAACATCCAGACACCTTGGCTGTCCATGGATTAACCCTCCCTTGTGCCAAGGAATGGAGCCGCATGTCATAAAGGCTATAACAGAGATGGCCCAGAAGACTGCACAATCGAAAAGGTCCCATTCCTTGCATTGGCCTCCTTCAGTGAAGCAACGTTCAACCACATGGATTGAACGGGCGGGACAGATAGCTCATTTCTGGGAGACCCGTTCTGAGAAGTATCAATACAGGTCATTTTACACAGGGGGGGGGCATTATAAGTAAGAAGAAAGGTTCAGGAGGACACATACCTTGGAATGTTATGGATAGAAGCAAGAAGAGCATCCGTGGAAAGGTCTCCATTGGAGTTTCTGACTGCTTCCACAGAGTTGATGTTCGGTGATTTTTGAACTCAGAAGATATCAAGAGTCATCATCACTCAAATGCTTCTTACAGGTCTGATGCTTGTCTAATCAGAAGAACCTCTTCCCACAAGAGGACGTAAGAGGAGGGGGGAGCAAGGAGGGAGTCCTGTGAAAGCAAAATAGCTTTTGCTTCTGTGGGACCAGTTGTGTAGAGCTCCTATGCCAGCTGGTTCTTATCAAGACTGAATTTGGTCCCTCTGTTGCTTTTTTCACTACACCTTCCATCTCTGCTTCCTGTTCTGCTCTGTCTTTTTGTCATTCAACCTGTAGACAGCCATTGGTTATTGGTGGAGTGGCTGTCTTGAATGGTGGCAGAAAGATGGGAAATACATTGAATTAATAAATATATTCCACCTTGGTCCAAGTAGATATTTTGCATTATGAATTCATTACATAATCCTCACATTAGCCCTAAAGTAATGAATAAGATCCTTTAGCCAACTCAACGGGTTGTTTTGAGAATTATGGATGCTGTCTTTAGCAACTTGGAGGAAAAGTGGAATATTAAATGAACACATAAGCATGTTTTACCATATTTTCTATGTATACGACTATACTTTTATCTAGAATTTTTAGACTAAAACTGAGGGTTGTCTTATACACGGAAGTAAGCTGAGAAGAGTACAAAAACAAGTGGAGGGGAAAGCAGGGATCAAATTGTTCCTGCAGGGCTTTGATCCCTGCTTTTCCCTCCACTTGCTAATCCTTAGCAGAAGAAAAGCAGGGATCAAAGCACTGCAGGATTGCTTTGATCCCTGCTTTCCCCTCTGCTTGCTAAGTCCCATGGGGCTTAACAAAAGGAGGGGGCAAAAGAATCAAAGCAATCCCATGGCTGTTTAAAGGGGAAAGGGATCAAAATGATCGTGGAGTTGCAGGAATGCTTTGATCCCTTTCCTCCTCCTTTTGCTAAGCCCCACTTAGATTTCTTAATTTTGGGTTAGAGAAGTGGGGGGCATCTTATACATGGGGGTGTCTTATACATGGGGGTGTCTTATACATGGAAAAATGCAGTACAGTATTTTATTTTATTATATTTTATACCACCCATGGGTTCTGCAGATTCAAGACCCAAAGGAAAACAATTTCAACTTGTAAATTTCTTCTGAGTGTGTCCAATTTCTAGTGCCATCTGGTGGAAGAACAAGCTTGACAATGGCATGCGCTAAAAAAGTTCCCAATTAGAGATGGGGTGTTTGTATTCATATACAAATATCCCCGCACAGGTGGTTTTAATGAGGGTCCATCCCCGTGGGTCCAGATGGTGCACTCACCGTTCCAATGTGGACCGTGTGATTCTACCAGTGAGCTATCCGCGATCCGCAGGGAGCTCGCCGCTCATCGACCTTGCAGCAAGGAGTGGCGAGCAGATCGCATGCTGTGGATCAATTGGTAGAATAGTGATGTCTACGTCGGAATGGTGAGTGCACCATCCGGCCCCATGAGGCTGAACCCTTGTTAATGCCACCTGTGCGGGGATATTTGTATTTACAGAGATGGGGGTATTCGTATTCATATATGAATATGGGGGTATTCATATTCATATAGGAATACAAATACCCCCATCTCTATTCCCAATACATTGCAGAATTTGCATCACAACACCTATAGAATAACAACATGCTTTAATTTGGTGGGAGAGTCTTTTTAAAATTGAATTTGGCTCCATCGCTTCATTGGAAGAACCAGAGATGGCGACTCAAGTTGTAGGATTCCCTGCCAAGTTAGATTTAAGTCACACCAGGACTCAACTCAGACTTAGCTCTGGGTTGTTGCTTTTTCAATGACTCGGACTCGATTCGCAACTCAGAACCCAGCTGACCCTTCCCCTTTTTCGGGGGGGGGGGAAGCTTGTTTTCAATACAGACTCAGACTTCAGGCTTGGGACTCATGACCTAGTACCTAAGACTTGAACTGGGTCTTGGAAGAACCAAAAACCCCTTGGAAGAACCAGACAACCCTAAACTGTTCTGTTGTATCTTTTTGCCTTTCAACCTGTAGATAGCCATTGATAATAAACAATAGAGTGGCTGTCTTGAGTGGTGGCTGAAAGATGGGAAATACATTGAATTAATAAATATATTCCACCTTGGTCCAAGTAGATGATTTGCATTATGAGTTCAGTACACATGTAGAGGAGGATCTGTAGTTTAATAAGCTGCTTATATTTCTCTGCTATAGTTCAGGGCACACAGAGGGTATCTAGTGGAGAATTTTGTGTAGTTCACCAATATTTCATAGGTTGTAACTAAAAAGTGATCAAACAGCTATGGTTTTGCATGGTGTAGTTCCACCCTTGAGATAATCTGCAGCAACACAATGAGAACAGAAATGTTTTGCATACAATATTCCTAAATCAAGGGAAGAGAAGACTCCCTGGAAAAGACCCTGATGTTGGGAAAGTGTGAAGGCAAGAGGAGAAGGGGACAAGAGAGGACAAGATGGATGGACAATGTCATAGAACCTACCAACATGAATTTGACCCAACTCTGGGAGGCAGTGGAAGACCGGAGGGCCTGGCGTGCTTTGGTCCATGGGGTCACGAAGAGTCGGGACCATGGGAGCGTGAACAGTCGGACACGATTGAACGACTAAAGAACAATAACAAAAGTCAAGGACTGAAATTCAATTGTAAGTTGCAATGAGAGTAAGCCCATTGAATTTATTTATTTATTTATTTATTTATTTATTTATTTATTTATTTATTTATTTATTTATTTATTTATTTGATTTATTTGATTTATACCCTGCCTATTTGGTCTACTCGACCACCCTAGGCAGGCTTCCAGTATGGGATAAAACAATAAAACACAAGAACATTGCATAATATAGGTGTTGACTCACCAAACTCCCACTAGTTAAATGGGCCTACTCAAGCTGTGACTTACTATTCCCTTTAACTCTATTCTGATGGCCAAAATAGGACCCAAATATTCTGAAGTTCAGAAGAATCTGGAGGTGGCCTTGTCTGAACCTGAAGGGACAGCCTGCGTGCCTCACGGCAACACTGTGACTCATCGCACAGAAATAGACACCGGAGTCTTCAAGCCGGGGATTCTTCAAACGTAACCAGGTCGTTTTCTCCTGTTTATTCAGGTTCATATCAAATCGGCCAAAAGACTCCGTTTTGGTTTGGAATAATATAGCAACATGAACGATGTGGCCATCCGGGTTTTGCTGGTACCACTGAAGGTTATTTGGAGTTCCCTGGTAGGAGCAGTTGAGGTGGACCGGTTCCCCCTCCGTGGTGTTAGCAAAGCGGTCCTTCTGAGTGACTGTTTCTTGGCCCCAAATGCCTGCAAGACAATGAGAAGGTTAGGAAGAGTCGGGACCGTCTTTCAGAAAACCGATTCAGCTGAAAAGGAAAAGGCAATGTGCAGCCGTGGCTGGATCAGGATGTGAGAGATCGCACACCAAACCCAGTGGATGGTTTTGTGGCTGACCCCAGCTGGCCAAGAACATTGGGCTGTTGTGAAAAGAGGGGACCAAGAGGAGATCTGTCTATGCTTCTTGGGAAAGATATACCTTCAAAGATGGCCAGAAATAAAACAGCCCCCAGGAACTGCATGTCTTTCTCCTGCGTAACAGACATGAAGAATGTCACTCAGTCGGTCTCCTTCATCGGAGAGTTGCATAAACACAGACCGCAGCCTGCAGTTCAGTTTTTGCCTTCCTGCCTTCTGAAGATCAAAAACACCTCAGATTTTCCTGTGTTCACATGACAGACCCACACCCTCAAAGGTGTCCCTGAGAACCCGCCCCGAAACTAAGGAAATAAATCTCTCCCACCTGTCCCGGATCTTCTGGACTTGTGCAAAACCTCACTCTCTCCATGTATTCCATGAGGGTTTGTTTTATCAGGGGGAGGGAATTTTCATCCATATGATCTCTTTCCTACATTCTGAAGTGGTACAGCCTGGGAAGGCTGCACCGCTTGCTAGTTCTGAATATGTAAATTATAGAATTGTCAATAGATGCAAAATTATTATTTATTATTTATTTAATTTATATCCCGCCTATCTAGTCGTGGTGGACTACTCTAGGCGGCCAACAACAGAGATAAAATACAATAACATGGTACAGCCTGGGAAGGCTGCACCGCTTGCTAGTTCTGAATATGTAAATTATAGAATTGTCAATAGATGCAAAAAGTGAAGAATGTAATGCTCCTTTCAGCAGAGATAGATTCGTCCCGCTGCCGCTGACTCGCTTGATAGCCTTGGCCTTAATATTTTTCTTCTAGGTCTGATTCCTTGGTTCCTCATCTGAATCAGACATTTATTGCCATGACCTTACAATAAGGACTTGGAAGTAGAGATGGGGGTATTCGTATTTGTATACGAATACAAATATCCCTGCACAGCTGGGGTATACGAATACCCCTGCACGAATTCTCCCGCACAACGACCCACTTCTTGCAGAAGGAGGGAAGATGAATCTCCCTGCCAGGTTGACGAGTGGATAACCGACCAGGAGCTCTGGAGCGATCGGAGAGGAGACCGGAGCCGCCGACGGCAGCAGATGCATGAGTGAATGGTCCGGCCTCAGGGGGCCAAACCCTCCTTATGTCCACCTGTGCGGGGGGTATTTGTATAGCAATACGAATATCCCCATCTCTACTTGGAACTTAATTGCAAGTTAAGTTACAAGTTAATGACACCAATTTTATTGATTCAATGGATCGTCTTCACTTTATAGTGGATATAAGCCAAGATTTGTTGTAAAAAGGTGATCCTGTTCAAATTCACACTTGGCCATCGATTGCATTGGCCCTAAACTTGTGAATAGGAAATCCCTCAAACGAACATAACACACAGGATTGTTTTGTGGATCATGGATACTGCCTTTAGGAACTTGGAGGAGAAGTGGAATATAAAGCAAAGAAACAAGCATGTTTTGATATTATTTTTATTTTGTTTCGCATTTGTTTCGTATTTGTTTGATACCATCCATTGACTCTGTGAATATGAGACCCAGAGAGAACAATATCAAGCTTGTTTAAATTTCTTCTCGGTGTTTCCGGTCTCTAGCACCCTCTAGTGGAAAAACAAGTTTGGCATGCATTTAGAAAGGTGCCCCAGATATTATAAAATTCGCAATAGAACACATATAGAATGCCAACATGGTTTATCTGGTGGGAGATAAAAGTCTTTTTAAGAGTGATTTTTGTTCCCTGGCACTATTGGCTTCTGAAGTTCTCTGTCCGTTTCTCCCACCACAGATCCAAGGATGGTTGTTATGCCGCCCAGGGCTTCTGCAGTGAGAGAATGGTCTTCTTTTGAGCTCATTGCTATATTACTCCTTCTCAGCCTTGGGTCCCCAGATGTTTTTGGACTACAACTCCCAGATTTCTGGCCGAAACAGTGAGTGGTGAAGGCTTGTGGGAATTTTCGTCCAGGAACATCTGAGGACCCACAGCTGGGAACCACTGTGCTAAAGACATTTGTCCTGCATGGAGAGAAGGCTGGTTAAGAGCTAGATGTACTGGGCTCCAGTTCTGGTGCCCCCACCGCTCTTCCTTCCGATCACTCCAGAGTACCCGGTCGGCTAGCCACTCCTGGCAGGAGGAGGGAAGACGAGTCTCCCTGCAAGGCTGACGAGTGGCTAGCCGAGCAGTGCTCCAGAAGAGCGGGCCCAGTGGCGGCAGCAGACATATAAGTAGACTTTCCAGCCCCAAGAGTTGGACCCTTGTTTACTCTAGCTGCGTGGGGATATTCTTATACGAATACAACTGCCCACATTTCTAATTCAATTCTATTTCATGAAAATAATATATACAGTATATGTATATGTATATTTATATAGAGAGATGAGTACTAGAAATTGTTTTCTCCAATCCTATGAATCAGTCCAGGAGTGTACAAGTGAATTGCAGGTACAGCATAAAAGGAAAAAAGGAGGGAAGTCCCTAAATTAGATTTTGTATTTTTGATGTTACCTATAAAGATAGCTGATAAGGAACTAAAGGAATTGCAAAATGTAAATAATAGGTATTGTAATGAAAATAAAAGGGTCAGGATAAAGAGAAAATGATGGTATCTTCCTCGAAGGAATTGTGGTTTGGGTATACCTGAAATTAAATTATAAAACATAGCTCACCCATTGAGATTTATACCAGAAATTATAGTAAACAGTATGGGGATAATATGGAGTGACCTTGAATTTCACAAGATTAAGGAAAATATGGAGAATTTGGTTTTTAAAGAAAATTTAAAGGATAATATTAAAAACATAGATGACCTTTTTTTTAAAGAATATGTTGCAATGTTGGAAGAAGAGTGAAAGTGTATTGAGTTCAGAGATTTTCCCATTGACTCAGGTGGTGGAATCACGCAGCTATCCAGTTAACCTGAAGAAGATATTAAATAAGTAGTTGTTAGAACAGAAAGTTATAAAAATTAAAGATTAGAATAAGAAGATGTATAATACAGAAAGAATAAAAGAGATACTAGGAGGAGAAGACATTACTTGGTTAAATGAAGACAGATAACTGGACTAAAGAATGGAGGGAAGGAAGGAGAACATGGGGGGATGACTAAATTTGAAGCAATTATTGAAAAGAGGGAAGAGAAGGGTGATAATATTCAAAGAAAAGGGGTAATAAGTGTAATGTATAAGAGTAGAGAACTAATATAAAACAATAGTTTTGAAAGAGATGTGGCATAGAGATTTAAATAAAGAAATTAGTGAAGAGGTATGGGTGAGAATCTTGGGGGGGAAGAATTATGAAAAATATGGAGGATGTGTGTATGACATTTATGTTTTTGAGGATGTGTCTATGTCATTTATGTTTTTGTAATATTTTGTTATAGCAAAAGAATAAAAAACAAAAAAAGCAAAAAGAAAGAAAGAAAGACTCCCAGTAGTTTACACACCATTCATAAAAGGAACCCTTTTTTTTTTTTTACACAAACAAAACTGGTAAATGACATTCAAAAAAATTCACCCTGAATATTTGAGAGCCTGGAAAGCACTTGATTCTTGCCTAGGAAACTCAAGAAATAGATGTCATTTGAGACACACACAGACACAAACAGAAAAACTGGAGGGGCACCCAGTGAGGATTTCTTCACCCTCGCATGGACAGACAACAAGGAAGGGAAGAACCTCTTCCCACAAGAGGAAGCAAGAGGAGGGGGGCGAGGTGGGAGTCATTTACTCCTGTGAAATCAAAAGAGCTTTATCTTCTGTGGGACCAGTTGTGTTGAGCTCCCATATCAGCCGGTTCTTATCAAGACTATCACTGGATTTAGTCCCTGTATTGCTTTTTTCGCTACACCTCCCATCCCTTTTTCCTTTTCTGTTGTGTCTTTTTGCCGTTCAACTTGTAGACAGACTGTCTTGTTTATTCGTGGAGTGGCTGTGTTCAGGGGGGTGCCTGAAAGATGGAACGTACACTGAATTCATGAATAAATCTGACTATGGTTAAGAGTGTTGAAGATGGTTTATATGGCCAGGCTCAAATTTTGATTTACTCATGGAAATCATAAATTGTTCCTCCATTGCTCATTCTTTCCCAGTATCATCTATTTCTCAGGATAATTTGGGAGTGAACTTTCCCTGGGTCACTGTCTAGAATTAATTGAATGCACCACTAAGGGCCTTGTCTGAACTTGAAGGGTCCACCCCAGGTTTTGGGACAGCCTGCGTGCCTCACGGCAACACTGTGACTCATCGCACAGAAATAGACACCGGAGTCTTCAAGCCGGGGATTCTTCAAACGTAACCAGGTCGTTTTCTCCTGTTTATTCAGGTTCATATCAAATCGGCCAAAAGACTCCGTTTTGGTTTGGAATAATATAGCAATATGAACGATCTGGCCATCCGGGTTTTGCTGGTACCACTGAACACTATTTGGAGTTCCCTGGTAGGAGCAGTTGAGGTGGACCGGTTCCCCCTCCGTGGTGTTAGCAAAGCGGTCCTTCTGAGTGACTGTTTCTTGGCCCCAAATGCCTGCAAGACAATGAGAAGGTTAGGAAGAGTCGGGACCGTCTTTCAGAAAGCCGATTCAGCTGAAAAGGAAAAAGCAATGTGCAGCCGTGGCTGGATCAGGATGTGAGAGATCGCACACCAAACCCAGTGGATGGTTTTGTGGCTGACCCCAGCTGGCCAAGAACATTGGGCTGTTGTGAAAAGAGGGGACCAAGAGGAGATCTGTCTATGCTTCTTGGGAAAGATATACCTTCAAAGATGGCCAGAAATAAAACAGCCCCCAGGAACTGCATGTCTTTCTCCTGCGTAACAGACATGAAGAATGTCACTCAGTCGGTCTCCTTCATCGGAGAGTTGCATAAACACAGACCGCAGCCTGCAGTTCAGTTTTTGCCTTCCTGCCTTCTGAAGATCAAAAACACCTCAGATTTTCCTGTGTTCACATGACAGACCCACACCCTCAAAGGTGTCCCTGAGAACCCGCCCCGTAACTAAGGAAATAAATCTCTCCCACCTGTCCCGGTTCTTCTGAACTTGTACAAAACCTCACTCTCTCCCAGTGAATTCCATGAGAAGAGAGTTTGTTTGATGGGGGTGGATGGTATTCTCTTTCATCCAGTCTGAAGTGGCACAGCCTGGGGTGGGTGGTTCTGAATATGTAAATTATAGAAGCAGAAACAGAAGTCAATGATAGAGAAAGGAGTGCTCTTTTCCCCAGAGGTAATAATAATAATTTTAGGGCTGCAGAGCTGGAAAGGAACCTATGGATCATCTAGTCCAGCCCCTGTCAAAGATGCCCAGTGGGTGTTTGAACACCCATCTAGATGCCTAAACCACTGAGCTATCCAGCAGGTAGATTCGTCCCTCTGCCACTAGTTCACTTGATAGCCTTGGCCTTAATATTTTTGTTCTAGGTCTGATTCCTCGGTTCCTCACCTGATTCTTAAATCAGACATTTATTGGCATGACCCTACAATGACCTGGAAGTTGATTGCAAGTTACAAGTTAATAACATCAATTTCATTGATTCAATGGATCTTCTCTTGTCTTGACTTGATAATGGATTTAAGCAAGTATTTGTTGGAATGAGGGCATCCTGCTCAAATTTGCGCTTGGCCATATATTACATTGGCCCTAAAGTTGTGAATAGGAAACCCCTCAACACACAGGGTTGTTTTGATGAGCATGGATGCTGCCTTTAGCAACTTGTGGGGGAGGAATGGAATATAAAATGAACAAATGGGCACATTTTATTTTATACATGGATTCTGCAAATTTGAGGCCCAGACAGAGAAAAAAATCAGCTTGTACCTTTCCTCTGTGTATTTCCAGTCTTTAGCGCCCACTGGTGGAAAAATAAGCTTGGCATGCATTTAAAAAGGGTCCCAAGATGTTATAAAATTCACATTACAACACATATGGAACACCAACATGCTTTATTTGGTGGAAGAGTCTTGTTAAGGCTGATTTTTGTTCCCTACAATCATTAGAAAAAACAGACAACACTAAACTTCTGAAGTTCTTTGTCTGTTTTCTCCTTCAGAAGCCCTGGCTGTCACATCACCCAGGGCATCTGTAGGAAGATACAGTTCTTAAGTTTAGCTAAATGCTAAAGCTGTGGTTCTCAAACTGGGGTCCCCAGATGTTCTTGCACTACAACTCCCAGAAATCTTGGCCAGCACAGCCAGTGGGGAAGGCTTCTGGGCATTTGAGTCCAGGAACACCTGAGGTCCCAAGGTTGGGTACCACTGTGCTAAAGGCACTTTGACCTGTGCAGAGGGTAAGAGCAAAATGTACTGAGTTCCAGTCCTGCTTGTGGTGACCTCATCCCCCGCCCCACCAGCTCTGGTGGGAAGCACCGGCCAACAACATTCCCTCTAATTTTCAGCCCCGCTTGCAACTTGCAAATCTGCCCCCTTTGTGACTTTGCCCTGCTGAGGGGGTTCCACTGCAAACAAAATGAAAGGGGCTGGAAACAGTCACTGTGTGTGCATGGGGGAGGAGGAAGGCTGCGTGGAGGGGGTGCAGCGCTGCACGCTCATGCAATCACACAGCTTAGAGGCGGGGTCTCCAAACTTTTTACAGTGAGGGCCACTCTGGATATTTTCAAAGTTTTTGAGGGCCGAAGGAACAGGAATGGGTATGCGCGCACACAACGCCCACCCCATGTACGCATGCACACATGCACACCCCTGCCCGCCCCCCTGCCCACCTGTAGGCATATGCACACGTGCACACACACACCCATCCACCCTCCTGCCCACCCCATGCGCATGCACGGGCTGAAGGCAACAGGCCGGACAAAATGGCAACACAGGCCAGATGTGGCCCACGGGCCATCGTTTGGAGACCCCTGGATTAGAGGGAATCGTGTCCTCCACTTCTTCCTCTTGTACCCAAGAAGGCCAGAATCCTCTTCCTGATTTACACTTCTGTAAGGAAAATCATGTACATCCTGGTGGCAAATTGAGAATCATTAATAAAATGTAGATTGCGCTCCTGGATGCACAGCTGATTGTGCAATCAGACACACATCCAGGAACACCACCAACACTTGTTGATGACAACCATTCTTATGCAATTTCTCCTGTGCAAAATGTAATTGAGCTGTGGTCTATGCTTGATTTTTATTTTGGCTCCTTGCTACAGTATTTCTGTTGGCATATCTTGTTACTGTTTTTGTTATGATGTAATTCTTCTCCATTTTGGCCAACCGGCATGCACAATGTACAGTAACTGAAAAGTGAAAGCCTTCGCAAATACATTAATTGTAATTAATTATTACAATAAAGACCCTAAAATTTAATTTACTGCCACTGTATTTGATAATCTAAGAATCATATAATAATATTATATTCATACTATGCTTCATGAAAAAAATTTTTATATAAATAAAACCTGGAACCTCTTTTCTCCAATCTTAGGGATCAGTCCAGCAAGATATGTGTGAGTTACAGGGTACAAAATAAACTTATGTTTTGGTAGCAGGGCTTGCTAGCTAGATAATGAGACAAGACTGAAGAATTTTTTTGAGATCAGGGAAATGATAAAATCATTCAAAACAAACCATTAAACCATAATTTATTTACAATATTTATTTGCTGCCTTTCTAACCACAGGAGACCCAAGGTGGGCTCACAAACAATAAAAACTATACAATAATCACAGTTAAAAATGCCACAGGAAACTATTTCTTAAAAAAAAAACCACCAATTAAATGTTTGTCAATATTAAAACCATGATTAAAAACATTTTTGAAAACATTTGAACATTTGTATGAGATTCCATTATATCTCACTAGCCTCTCTGTGCCATATGAACCCTCTTATTCTTTCCACTGGGACCTTTGGAACCGTGTTGGCTTGTACTCCAAATTCCATCATCCCCTGCCCTTTCCCCATGGCTATGTTGGATGAAGGTTCGGGCAGTTACGCCTCTTTAAAGTCCCTTGTTTGAGCTTTTATTCTGCGTTGTTCCTGGCTGTTGTGTTTCTGACGGTCTTCCTTATTGGCTAGCCTCACTGTGTCTCTCACAGCGCAGAAATAGAGAGCAGCGTCGTTCAACTGAACGGAAGATTTCTCCATGTGGAAAGTCTTCTGTTTTTTATTGCTACTTTTGTCATGGTTAGCCATGAAGCCACGGAGATGACCTTCATCGGAGTCGGTTTTCCCCAAGTCCCTCAGAAAAAGCTTGGGCGGTTGACCAGGAAGCTGAATATACCAGAAGGGATCCACTTGACCAGATAAGTCGTAAGAACACCGGATCGAGACAGAACTCCCTTGGCTGACGATCACCGTGCCTTCCGTTTGATCTACGGATTGTCCAAGCGTCCCTTCTGTCGACAAAATAAAGGAACTAGAGGTTAAACAAGATGTAAAGGTGAAGAAGCTGTTGCACAGAACCAGAACTAAGGAAAGTTATTCCCTCAGACTACGTATTATGTTCCGAAAACCCCTACTAGGGGCTAGAAACCCACTCAGTTTCAACCTATAACCTAAGGATCAATAATTATGTTCCGAAAACCCCTACTAGCATGGCTAGAAACCCACTCAGAATGTTTCAACCCATAACCTAAGGAGGGAAAAAAAGAATTGAGGTAAATAAAATTAGCACTAGGCAAACTGTTTTAGCACCTAAGGCAGAAAAGACAGAGTAGATCGGCAGGGCTTTAATCAGTCATATTGCCTCATTGATGTCAATACAACACTACCAAGTCTGGATTCAACCCAAAGTATTTACTTACTGAAATTCTCTTGGTTCTTCCTTACCCCTCTGTTAAAAATGTCACTCCAATGACACGCTGAATTTTCAAATATCTCTGTTCTAACATGCATTAGTACCGATCAACATGATTCAAAGAAGTTCTGAGAGTTCTTTTCTGAAAACATTATTAATCACATCCATTGATACATTTCCAAATATAACGGGCGTGTGTTGATTAGGAGGGAAAGACCTCAAGTTAGGGAAGGAAATGAAGCCTCACTTACTTGAGAAGATGAACATGATTAACCCAGCCAAGGTGCAAGAAGGAGCCATTTTTTTCTGCATTAAGAATAAAATCGGGAAAGTTTTTTTTTCTGTAGCAATTAGAAAGAATGTTGTGGTGATTGGCTGCTGGGCTTCGTCAATCAGCAATCCACCTTGTATAATGTATGAAAGACAGCTGGTATATTCTAACTGCTAAGTCATTTAACCCACCCTGCAAATCATATATGGAGGAAGCTCCTGGGTGGCACAATAATGATACAGTTAACCACCAAGTTTTCTGTGCAGGGTATAAGGAGGTGGAAAATATTTAAATCATGCTTTGAAATCTTGCACACACACTTGACTCAGCATCACCACCTTGTGTTTGGAAGTTAACTTTTACCAAACTCTTAAAACTGTTCTTTGGTTTGGACAAGGCTTCCCCCCCCCACACTGGAATGTGTGTGAGTGACTCCCACACACCCCTCCATGGTACTTGTAGAAACAAGTTCTTTATTAGCATAGGCATCCTTCAGTCTCGAGAGACTATGGTAACATGCTCTGAATCGAGGAGTGTCCTCTCCGGAGCATGAAGCCCGGGTAACGTAATATGGAGGATAGGCTGTTACCCAAGCAGCAGATCCCCCCCTCTCCACATTGCTGAAATGCTCCAATGGAAAGGCAAGAGCCAATACAACTGGTTCCAGCTATGTCGCAGGAGTTGGGAGAATGACACATGCTGCCTTCGGGACTCCAGCTCCGGATTTTGCCTCGAGGTTAACTCCTGAAGCCTTTTCTATGAGTGGATATAGCCACAAGGCAGTGGAGGTTTGAAATCGGAGTTTTCCTTCTCCTAGATGGGCTGCCTTCCATGGCTGACGAGCCCCACCTCTTTATTACAGCAGCAGAATTTCTGAATGGGCCAACAGGGCTGATCAACAAAACTTGAGAATGTATTCTCAAAGGGTTTCAGAGCCGGGATCCGATGGCTGTTGTAGGTTTTACAGGCTGTTTGGCCATGTTCTGGAGATTTTTCTTCCTAACGTTCAAAATCCCAACCTCTGGCTCCGCAGCCAGAGACCAAAACCTCTGAGCTATCTTTCATACTGCCAATGAATTCTCTATCTGGCTGTGCAAATGCCTTCTCAGACAGAAAACACCAGTAGCTCTTTTATTTGAGTAAACAAACAAAGGAAAACTCTGCAGTTGAGTGTCTCTCTTTTCTAGGAAAGGATGGATCCTCATTGCCACGTAGTGGAGAAAACCTGAGAGATTTGGGTTGCAAATTCCTGGCAGATGGGCATCTCACCTATCCTGTCTCCTTTTCGTCACTGGAGGCTGAGGCCTTTCATACCAGGATGGTGATAATATGTTCTGGCTTTTGGCTCGAACTTTTCAGGAGCTTCCCAACGGACTGGATTGTAAGATGCACAGCACCCTGAGTAGCTCATGAAAGGTTCATATCTGCTTTGATATGGATTCCTGCCTTGGACAAGAGGTTGAACTCGATGGCCTTATAGGCCCTTTCCACTCAATTATTCCATGATTGTATGATTCTAGAGTAGATACACTTCCCACGGGCATCAGAACCCTTAGATTCCATCAATTTTTTCTTTTAAAAAACAAAACACACAATCTTCCCACTGTCCCTGACTGACTGAGCCTTTTCCAGTTATCCTAAACTTTTTCTCCATCACTTGCTCCTTCATCCTTAGCTAGGTGGATGTCATGCCCTAACCCTGACCCTTTTTTCATTCAAAACCAAGGTTCAGATCCGAATGGTCTGATGAAATTAGCCAAATCTCTAAAGGGGCAAAGCAATCCTGTGGAATTCGAAAAGCCACCAAAGTAATGTTAGATATCAGATCTTGCCAGCAAATACATTCCAAGAAAGTGACAATTCCTTCTGATCAGTAGCTTCCCCAAAGTGTCACTACAGAGGAAACCCGTGCTTCGTGGTTTCACGTCCTGTGTTCGGTTTTAAGAGAGCTTCTCTGTATTGCTGTCTCACTGTGCATCCGGAGCACAGAAGTAGTTTTCTCCGTGGTGGAGCTGAGCATTGATAATGTGCAGATAGCCCTGTTTTTCCTTGGAATTGAATTCTCCGACAAAATGGTCGCCCTCCTTTGTCCTCTGACCACCATAGACGAACATCAGAAAGATGGGTTTTCCCCCTGGGTGTTGCCTATACCACTGCAAGCCACCTGTAGAAACTGTACAGGTCAAGGTGGCGTTGTTCCCTCTGAGGACCTCCAAGGACGGAGGATGTTGCTCTACCTTCTCCTGCCCATCTATCACTGGTCAAAGAGAGAAGACAGGAAAAAAAACAAGGTTAACAATTCAAGTGAGAGATAGGTGGTTGAAACAGAGGTTCCTGGGGAAGGATTTTCTTTGGATAGAAATTCATTCATTCATTCATTCATTCATTCATTCATTCATTCATTCATTCATTCATTCATTCATTCATTCATTCATTCCATTTATACCCCGCCCATCTAGTCTATTGACTACTCTGGGCGGCTTACAACATATATAATAAAACAATATAAAATATAACAAACATTATAAACATCAGTAATAAAATATTCAAGATGGAAAGAGATAAGAGAAAGTAACTCCAATAATGTAGAACAGAATTCACCCCCGAATTGCAACAGGAATTCTGTACTAGGACCATACTAGTCCTCCAACCTGCTAGAGAAATGACGACATAAAGAACACATCCCAACAAATGCACAGTGTTTTCTTTTCACATCTAATACAGGCTGAAGAAGGGTGAGGGCGAGGCTTTTTCCTTCAGAAATGGGGAGAGCTAGATGGTTCGAGGGCTGGACTGGAACTCATGAAATTGAGATTCACTTCCTTGCACACGTCAAGTCATGAAACCCATGGGTTGACTCTGAGACTTTACAGGATTGTTCTGAGTATACTCTGAGGAGGAGGAGGATAGTCCACTACACCTCCTTGGGGGAAATGCAGGAGAGAAATGTGACATAGAAATGAACAAACAAAGAAATCAAGGATGGAAAGGAAGGAGATGGCCCAGATATCAAGGTGAAGGCATCAGAGACAACATCCCGTCTTGGAGAGCAGGACAAAAGGAGGTTCCTGGGTCCTACCAGAGAAGGAGGTCAGGGAGGAACAAAGGGCGAGTAGATTTGCAAAACGCTAACGGGACAGAAAAGGAGCTGCAGGGAAGGCAGGAAGAGCAAAGCAGCTCCTTGAAAAGCTGAGCTTACAGTGGAAATGGGCAGAGAGAAGGGCAGCCCAGTAGATCGTCCATGCTCTCTTCCTTCTCACTCGATCCCAAAGAAAGAGAAGGAGGTCAGGGAGGAACAAAGGGCAAGTAGATTCGCAAAGCGCTAACGGGACAGAAAAGGAGCCGCAGGGAAGGCAGGAAGAGCAAAGTAGCTCCTTGAAAAGCTGGAAATGGGCAGAGAGAAGGGATGCCCAGTAGATCGTCCATCCGCTCTTCCTTCTCGCTTGATCCCAAAGAGGACCTCCTCTCCTCATCCTGCAGGTGTGAAAGGGGTATGTGTGTGTGTGCCTCAGTGGACAGAGATGCTTTATCTTAGCTCCAGAAGAAGTAACCTTCCTTTTTCCACAAAAGAAAACTTCTCATGCAAGAATGCTGCCCCCAGGTGGTATTTCTTATGATTCAGAGAGAACTCATATGAGTGTCTTTTTCGCTTTTGGTTTTCTGGCCATGATGCAGTTACACAAATTGCTCTCCACAAATCCAATCAAATTCTTTTAAAATAATGTCCTGCCTGCCACCTTTCCCGGCCTTATTGGTTTTTCCAGAAACATGACACTAATATGATGCTCCAAAAGGAGGACAGCATCAGTTTCAACGTTGTTGCCTCCAAAGAGAGTTCAAGCTGGATTTTAACTAGGACCCACCTCTTCAACTTTCTGGCAATTCAGGATATCCACAAAACTGTCCCCTATAAAAATTTTTTCAAAAATACAATCACACCCCTCCGCTCAGACTTTTTTTTTACTGTCCAGCTTTCAATCCCATGCTGCATGACTCGAAATACAGCCGTGTGGATGATCATGATCTTGGTCTCCAGTGACACATCCTCACGGTTGACGATCTTCTCTTATTCCTTCCTTGTTGCCCTTCCAACTCCTGGTCTTCTTCTGATTCCTTGGCTGCAGTCTCCCTTTGGATTGATGATTGGTGGGGAGATGCAACCCTTCCAAAACCAAGTGGATCCAGGTCTGCCAAGAAAGCCATCCTCCGGAGTCTACAACCTAGAGCCTCTCCAGCTTCTGTGGTGGGGCTGAGGCCTCTTTGTAACACTGTGCCTCAGGGCGCAGAAATAGGGGGCAGAATCTTCCAGTCTGGGGCTCTTCAGGAGCAATGAAGTTATCTTCTTCTGGGTGTCCAGACTGAGGTCAAAATGGCCATGAGGCTCAATGTCTTATAGATCACAGCCAAAACGTGCAGCTGCCCCCCAAGGTCCTGTTTGTACCACTGCAGGCTTTGTTGACCGCCAGTATAGGAACAGTTGAATTGGATGGCTTCCCCTTCTTTGACGGAAGCAACTTGGTCATCCTGCGTCACAGAGTAGGAAAGCTGGCCTAAAATACCTGGAGAGGAGGAGGATGGGAATGACCAGAAGCATCCAGGTCAATTTTCTCAGCTTTTGGAAAGAAAATAAAGAAGCATAAGACAGACACAATGGAGGGAGAAAGAAAGAAAGAAAGAAAGAAAGAAAGAAAGAAAGAAAGAAAGAAAGAAAGAAAGAAAGAAAGAAAGAAAGAAAGAAAGAAAGAAAGAAGGAG